GTATATATCCTTAATATTATGCCACCTATAGTGATATGGGAGCTATAGAGGTCCAGGTGCTGCTCAAAATATGATTCAGAAAAGCCTTTTATCAACAGACCCAACATTCTAATCACTTTCAACATCTGTCAACTTATCAAAGCTAGATTCAAAAGCATCCCAAGTGAAAGTTGGGAAGACATTTGTTTGATTTTTGATTAAAATATGGTTGAGAAGATCGTCAGAGTGGTCAAGTGGATTAAACCCTCCTCCCCTGTTCTTAAATTAAACACTGATAGATCCTGCATTAATGCAACTTGTGGTGGGGGAGGTGTACTTAGGGATTATCAAGGAAGAGTCATCATGGCCTTCATCTTTCCCCTAGGCCATGGAACCAACAACCAAGCTGAAGTTGTCACCCTCCTTTTTGGTTTGAAATGGTGCATAGTTAATGGTGTCAGTTCTATCATTGTTGAGGTAGTGTCTTTATTGGTGCTGAATTGCACCATCGATGTCTGGGAAATCCTCTGGAGAATCGAAGACACGGTCAAAGAAATAAAGAATCTGGTAGGCATACATGATATTCCTATTCAACATTGCTTCAGGGAAGCTAATAAAGTTGCTAACAAATTAGCTTCCCTAAGTCACTCACTTACTCATGTACAAGTCTACTCTCACTTCAACACCATCCCTAGAATAGTGAAAGGGATTCTCAACATAGATAGGTGGGAATGCCCTTCCTTTAGAGTCATAAAGCGTAAAGCAAATACTTTGAGTTTTGATCTGCCTTGAACCTCTCTAATTGTGCTAGTGCTTGTTTAGCTTAGATCTTTTGTGCACTCGTGTGTTTGGTTTGAGTGTGTAACCAAACTCTCAAGAAGGTATGGCCTAGCCATGCTTCTTCAAATGTAATTTCTTTCTCAATGACATTATATATGGTTTTTTTAAAAATAAAATAAAATAAAAACTCAACTATTGCGCAAAACCCTCACCTCAAGGATTTCAAACACCTCAATTTATCAATTTAACTCAAGAACTTCTCAAGAACTCACTAATCAACTTCAAGAATGAATTCATGGGTAAGAGTTTACATGATTGGCGTTAGGGCGAATAAATCCAACACTATGAAACCTTACATACCTCGAAGATCGCAAGAACCTTGAATGAACGCTTGAACTTCTCCTTTTTCTCCTCTTGAACTTCTCTCTAAAACCCTAAGCGTGTTTATGAATTGTGAAAGCTGATCCAAATTAGTTTAGACCCCTAAAATATTACTAAAAATGAGTTAGGCTGGTGGGGTAAGGAAAAGACCAAAATACCCCTCCTTAATTCGGATGGATTTCCTTAATCGGACAGGCTAAACTCAAACGGGCATTTCTCCCTCATTCGAACTCGGAATTTAGCAAACTCGATGGCGTTGGAAAGATGACTCAACGATCTTTCATTTGATACCTTATGGAACACCTAACTCATCTTGTACCGAAAGTTATGATCGTTTGAAGTTGACCCAAAACTCACAATTTAAGACTAACTTGCAAAATTCTCAAATTAGTTCTTTCTAAAAATTTGCTCTTTCTAAGACTGGGGTGTTACATCAATATCGTATAATTCAAATGTTGAGTCCATAATTTTTATATTAGAATTAAAGAAGTTCTTTAAATATCTCTAAAACAAAAACTTTAAGTCGTTGAAGGTATTTACACCAGTATGATGAAGACTACAACGAAATAGATGGAGTAATCAACCATGAAACAACAATAAACCATAACTATTAATAAAAAACACAACATAAAAACATAATGCAACAGATCGTGTAAGATAATTCAATCCGCAGAAATTAAGAAGATTTAAAAGTGTCCCTTTTCTGATACAAGCATTATATCCCACCATAATTATCTAAGGAGAATGGCAAAAGCATTCACCCAAAAAGAAGTTGGAAATTATCTAAGGCATACCCCAAGTTTCTGGTACAATCTATATATAATAATAAAGCTAAATATGAAAATGGTGATTTGGCGCTCTATAAGGGCTTGAATTCTATTTTATCTTGTTTTTTTTTTGTGGTTTTTTGGCATTTTTAAAATTTTAAAAGACATAAAATTTTACTTCAAAATTCTACAAAACATTAAACTGCCATATTTAATTCCTCTCGTCATTAAGGCTATTAATATTTTTTCCTAAAATGGAGATTTACAGAATGTTGAAAGTAGTCATATTTATTTTGTTTCATTATTAATGTTACTCTTCTATTTTTTTTTTATAATATTTCTTAATTTCTTCTTTTACGCTTTATTTATATTATTTATATCATTTTGTTAAATCACCTCTTTTCCTTTATTTTGTTTATGTTATTTATATTATCATTTTCTTAAATCACTTCATTTTTTTTTGGTTATATTTTTAGTAATCAATGTAAGAAATCTATATCTTTATATAATGCTCTCTCCGTTTAAAAAAGAATGACCTCCTTTCCTTTTTAGTCTGTTCCAAAAAGAATGACCTCTTTCTTTTTTTGGTAACATTTTAATTTCAGGTTTCCACGTGGCATGTTTAAGCCCATAAGATTAAAGGGCAATTTTGTACATTTGACATAACTTTAATTTAGGACCACAAGATTCAAAAGTCTTCATTATTTTCTTAAATTCCGTGTCAAGTCAAACTAGACCATTCTTTGTGAAATGGAGGGAGTATAAAGTTATTTCTTTTATCTTCTACAAGAATTCATCGAACCTCATTATTATGGATTTATGAAACGAAACTTCAAGAAACATATCAAGAACTCAAATCATATGACCTCAAGAACGAAATTACGGATAAAATCAGATGATTGGTGTGTGGGTGAACAAATCCAACACTATGAGAGCTTACATACCTCGTTAAGATCGAATCCTTGGAGAAATCCCTCAGCGATTTCACAAAAATCTTGAACGCTTGATTCTTTTCTCTTCTTGAACTTCTCTCTAAAATCCTAAACATATTTTAGAATTGTGAAAACTGATCTAGGCCAATTCAGACCCCTAAAATATTACTAAAAACGTTTAAAGCTAATGGGGTCAGGAAAAGACCAAAATACCCTCTTTAATTTAGATGAACTTTCCTTAATCGGACAGGCTAAACTCAAACAAGCATATCTCCCTTATCCGAACTCAGAATTTAGTAAACTCGGTGGCGTTGGAAAGAGGAATTAGAGACCTTTCATTTGATACCTTATGGGCCACAACTCATCCTGTACTGAAAGTTATGGTTGTTTGAAGTTGACTAAAACTCACAAATTAAGATTAACTTGAACAAATTTCAAATTAGCTCTTTCCAAATTAGTTATTTCTAAATTTAGCTCTTTCTAAGGCCGATGTGTTATATCCTCTCTCGATATTAAAGTAGATGCCCGCATGACTCAGCGAATAGGCTAAATTGTCGGAGCCTTCTTTTTCTTCAATGCCTCAAAACGCTCAATGTCTAATACCAACAAAGTATAAAGTTACTTTAAAGCCCTATTTACTCAAACAACGGTCTTAGGTATTCAAATTAGCCTAATTCTACCTTTTAAAAAAGTTAACAAATAATTAATGGGTTATTTTATCCAACCGAAGGCTTCTATGATCAACTCAATATCATTCATGGAGTTTAGCCCCATTAATTTCTCTTGAGCAGTTTGAATGCTCAAGAACCCATTTTATGGGGTTTCTAAATTCTCCAAAACCGAAATTAAAGCCTATATTAGTAATTTCAGGCTAGAGGGTCAAATTAACAAGAAAAGATAGAAATAATGCATATTACCCTCCCTTGACATTTAACTCAAACAATAATTAGGCTAGAGTTTAAACACAATATTTTGTAAAGAACTTATCGTTTAATTTCATGAACAAAACACATTACAAAAGGGAAAGATAGATTAAAATCACTTACCTTAAGAGAGAAAAATCTAAAGTCCTAAAAATATTTCTCTTAAGATCCTCTGATAGAATATTATAAGTTATGACTAAGATTGGACAAAAAACAGACTTAAAACTTGAAAATAAAAATCCTAACCTTCGCCATAGTGAAGACTGCTATAGAGAACAGACCTTTCGCTATAGCAAAGCCTCGCAACTTTACTGCCTTCGTTATGTGAGGGTCGCTACAATAATATCCAAAAATCAGGCAACAAATAAAACAAAATAAAATTTGAAAGTAATAAAATAAAATAAAATTATCTTGGAGGGAAGTGACAATATTTGTTCAACACCTTTCCGTTTAGTAATTCTTGTGAAGATCGAATTTGCATGTTAAACATCGTAGAAGATGAGACAAAAAAGCTAGGTGATTGTGAACACGATCGACCCCCCACATAAATTTAGCGCTATGATAGAGAACATTACATTGATAAATGCTATTTATAGATACAGAAAGCCAACTTGTTCTTGTTATTACCAATGAAACCTTTTAGTTGATAAAAAATAAATAAATGGATACAGAAATGGCATGTGTGATTGGTAAAATGAATATGTGATCTGTTGGTTGCCTTCCTTTTGTGGGAGGCAGTTGGTGCTAATTCTTGCTGGTTGAGCGATACGTAGATCAGTCAAAGGCCCAATGGATGTATTTACTTATTGTAAAAAAGGCGAGAAAGTGAAATAAATAATCCATCCTATTTGGAGATTGGTTTTAAAATGATCGTTTAAAAGTCATTCTAAAAAAAATATGATCCTTCAAATATACACCTGAGTGGTTTTATTTCTTTATGTATAATAAAATTGAGTACTTTTGACGAAATGGCTTGTGAAAGAACATGAGTCGTTTAAATGAAAGAAAACCATCCAGCTGAACGTGTCTGGATTCATTTCCATATTCTTCCTTAAGAAAAATCTTATTTGTACAGAGACCAAAAGTGCTCAGCTGCATATTTAAAGGACTACTTTAAACCAACCCCAAACATAAGAAACTAATTAATTTGTCATTTTCTCTAAAGAAGTCATTGTGTTACGAGAAGTTGACAGCCTACAAAAGTTTAGATCTTCATACCTTTTAGCAATTGTTTAAAGTTATACATGAGATCTGCAATTATCACTGGGTAGCATTTGAATGATTATTTTAGCTTTCTGTATTCTCTGAAAGAAACACTTTTTTTCTTTGGTCACAGTGATTCCTTGCTTCTATATATATGCTGAGGAAGAGAAATTTTCAAAAAAGGGTGCTTCTGTCTGTTCAAAAAACATCTCATCTCCAATCAAGGACCATGAAAGTGATCCTGATACTACAGAAGAAACATGGGAGGTGGAAGATTATGAGTACGATAGGGCATTGAATGCTGACAGGGTTTACCTTAAGTTCAAAAAGCGAGTAGATGCATATCCAGAACAGTGTTTCAGGTACAACTTTAAAAAGCTAGCCTTTGTTTACCATGCATATACTTCTGAATTTACTTTTAAGTATCGCCTCCTGGAACTTAACATTTTATTTGGTGGAGTAGATGACTTTTGAGAAGAAAACTCTCAGTTTTATATTCATTTTAATTTCCCCAAAGCAGCAAGTGAAGTCCAAGTTTAATGTACTTTTGGTTTCTTGATGTAGTGAACTTTCAGCCTTTTCTGCTTCTGTACAAGCTTTCTCTTTGATAATCTTATTCATCTCCAACTGTAGCGTATTACTATTTGTACAACTTTAATTGCATGTTGAAGTGTTCTCATGTTTTTTCTGCTGTGGCATGTATGAATTTAGAGATGCTTCTTAGAGTAGTCGTTGTGACCTTCTCTCTATTCCCAACTCTTTGAATGCATCAACTTCTCTTCATAAGCGAGAGAGTGTTGACTGGTTGGTTTCTAATGAAAGGCATTTAAGTCTTTTCCGAGTTTCGGTTCCTTTCAAGAAACTTTTAATTATGGACAGTGATTCTTGATTAGTCTGGGTTTGGGACTTGGATCAACTGATCCTGGTAAGTTTTCCTTGCCAATCTACTGGTTCTGCTTCTTCATTACTTCAGTCTGGCTGAATTTTTCCTGCTGGGCTTCTCGACTGATCTTGAGATACGTCTTATCACTGATGTCCTTTCTCCCATTTTGTTTGCTTGGTTCTGGGCTTGAACTTCAAACCATCTCAATATTGGGGTAAATTTTGAGAGTCAATGACTCCACCTTTTCAAACTACATTCAGCTTTTTTCTTGTGACACCTGAGATATGTAGGGAACTCTGCACAGAGTTCGGTCATACTAATCCAGTCAATCCAGTCCCTAGTAGAATCTCCTTGAACTACATATGAACTGATTGCTTGTGAAACCCGAGATATGTAGACAACTCAAAGACCGGAGTCTGGCCATAGCCCATTTCTTCCGATCTAATCAAATCAACACACCGAGACATAATTGGCTACTACGTCAACATCTTCGCCGGTCTTGACCTTGCTTCCATCAACATGTGAAAACTGCCATCAAGTACTTATTTTATTAGTGAGTATTAATTTATCTTTCATCATAAAACACATCTTAATGCTAACAGTTGGCTGACATACTGTGAGATTGATTAGGATTACACACTGGAAACCACATCTTAGGTTGTACATTCAGTTTTCACCCACTCCCACTGAGCTCAAGGTTACTTTTATTTTTTGTTTACTTTATTGCTTTCTTAGTCAACTGCTAACGCTAACTGTCATTTTGTGGAGACTGTCATACTTTATCCAAAAAGAAGCTAAATAAAATAAAATAAATACAGAGAGTATCATATAGTTTTCTGTTGGTAGGTTTTAGGATTCTTTTCCATTTCTATACGCGCAAGGTTTCTTTTATTTGACCTCCTTACATTAGATAATCATTAACATTCTTTCTCTCCTTACTAAAAAATCTATTATTTACTTTTACATGTAGATACTCATATGGTGGAAAGCCGCTTTTGGCTTCTGGAGATGCTGGTGATGTAGGAATGTGCAGGCTTGTGGTGCAGCACGTCAATATGAAATGCAGCTGATGCCCCCATTGCTATATTTTCTGCAGGAAGCCGTGAGCGAGAAAGGAAAACATGCCTTGGATAACTGGAATTGGATAACTTTAATAGTCTATACTTGCTCACAGGTCAGCCTTTAACTGGATATGGATTGTAGGGTGGAAAGATATGTTGGATCCGTATACTTTTCTAAGCCAAAATGGTCATTTTTTAGCTGCTGTATCATGAAGGCGGGGGTGAACCTAGTGCATAGCTGAAACACTGTATGTATTAAAGATTTCATTTAAATCAGTTTTAAAAAAGAGGTTTTGAAAGTAAGAAGTTGAATGGAAGGACAAACTGTAATAGCTTATGACTTTTTACTTCAGCTTTTCACTCGTTGAAAATGCGCGTCTCCCATGGGGCAGTTTTGTGCGAGTTTGAATTAATCACTTTCTTCTTGTTCCTTTTCTTTCTGAAACTGAAATTTTACTTGTGATCTCTTTCTTTCATTTGCTGGTTGAACTATCTATTTTATTTTGTTGATTGTGGACTATACTACTCTCTATTTTCAGGCTTAGTTAACCCCAGTGTCTGTTTCATTTTCAGAACTGTTCAAACGATAACTCTAGCGATGATGTCTGGACTGTGGCTGAGGAAGCTGTTGTCGTACAATATGAATAGCATCGATTAAGTTTACGTCTGCTGTTTCGTATGATTTTGTGATCTTAGGGTATATTTTCGTCATAATTTTTGTTGTTATTATAAAGTAGATTAGTAGCAGGGTTGTCAGTCAGTTGAGTCAAGGGTGGTTTCTTTTGCTTACATGTTTTTGAGTTTGCTGTTACTTGGTATTAGTTTTGAGATGCATATTGTCAAATTTTGGTTCGGATCATGTGTTGCGAAACTAAATCAAATGAGTAGTGGTACAGTCCCTAATTCGAACTCGTTCAAAATTTTGATCCGCCTCTAATTGTAGTTGATTTTCTATTGAATTGCAGAACATCAACCACTATATATATTTAATAATTTTTATTTATTTCTTTGTAAAATATTTATTTTAAATTATTTCTCACTTTAAACTTATTTTTAATTAGTTTATTATCTTCACTTTTAATTATTTTTTTAAAAATAATTAAAAAGTATCCTTTAATTTTAACATTTTTTTTTTATGTTTTATTTTACTTTCTTAACCTATTTTGATATTCGTTCGAAATTAACTTATTTTAAATACAAGACATTTGGAATTAAATTTAAAATCATATCAAAATGAAAGACGGACAATAAAAGAGTAAATAAAATCAATAGAAAAATAAAAGAGAAAAACAATGAATGAAGGCTAAAAAAAAGTTTCGATACAAGGTAAAAAAAGTGTATTAACTTAATTTAAATACAAGATAGAGGGTTCTTGGTTTTTTTGTTTTTTTTTAGGAAATGCTCTCAACGTATGTTAGCAAGGCTTCTATCGTGCATTGACTGACTTTCCACCATGGGACGACAACACAACTCTGGAAAAGGGTTTGCTAGTCGGGAAACACATTTCCCCTGATCTGGGTAAGAATTGCAGGATGTCAGCTCTCACTTTTGTTACTTTTCTACCTGCGCGTTTCCAATCGATTGAAGAAGAAGTCGGGAAGTATGGTTCAGACTCTGAATCCCAATCATCCATCCAATCGGAACCTTATGGTGGTGGGGCACCAACATCGCAACCGGCAATGCGTAAACTCCAATTCTCTGATGTGGGCACGTCTACCCACTCTAAGTCGGTGGAGCTGAAAAACCTTCAGGATAATCGAGGAGGTAAAAAGGGTAAACTATTGTCTTATATTCCTTCTAGCATCAAAGAAGGTCGTAAATGTGTAGAAATCGTGAGAGACGATTTAAAGGAGCAGGAGGAATACTGGAAAACCGCACTCATTGGTTGTTATTAGTGATACCCCTTTTTTGAAAACTATGGAGAATTTTGTTCAAAATATCTGAAAAATAGTAATTCCTCCTCATATATATTATGTTACACGATGATGCACTCACACTCAATCGTGATAATAGTAGTTAATCTAGGAGCTGTGGCTCGAAGAAGATGAAAACTAATTCAGGCTACAATCGAGAAGATTAGCTGAGAAGATGTAGAAGAAGGAAGAAATAATAGAATGATATTATTCATGAATGAGTGAATCAGTACATTTCCATGTATTTATACAACTAATCAATGGGTAAAATGACTTAAAGAAGAATACAACAAAAGTAACTAACTAACTAATTTCTTGACAGCTGAACAGTGTTAACTGCCTAACAATTCTAACAGCTTTCTAACAGATTTTCAGATTCCTTTACATTCATTTTAACTAACTCGACTACATATACTTGCATCAATACCCCCCTAATTGAAGAATAGCCTTGTCCTCAAGGCTAGAATGAAGGAAATCTATGCTGCAACTCTGTGAGAATTTCCCAGGTGGCCTGAGTTGTATCAATGCCCAGCCATTTAACCAACACCTGACAAACAACCTTATTACACCTCTTGATCATCCTCCTTTCTAATATAGCCTCAGGTAAGGGGCAGTAGGGACTAGATATATGTAACACTGGAGGATGGTTAAGGACAGCAGGCACTTCATGGCATTTTTTCAACTGTGAGACATGAAAAGTAGGATGGATCAATACATCTGCTGGAAGAAAAAGCTTATAAGCAACTTCCCCAATCTTAGCATCAATCAGATAGGGACCAAAGTACTTAGCAACTAACTTGTTAAAGGGTCTAGTGGCCACAGAGAACTGCCTGTACGGCTATAGCTTTAAATAGACCTAATCACCCACACTAAATTGTCTGTCAGACCTATGTTTATTGGCCAGATCTCTCATTCTTTGTTGAGCCCTGGACAATTGGAACTTCAACAAGGCAATAATAGCTTCCCTAGCCTCCAAGGACCTGTCAACCATCTCATTAGAGCATTCACCAGCCAAATAGGGAAGATGAATAGGTGGATTTTGACCATAAAGAACTTCATAAGGGGAGCATTTGATAGCTGAATGATAGGTTGTGTTGTACCACCACTCAGCAAGAGGCAAGTGAGCAACCCACTCCAAGGGTTTATCTGAGCAGAAACACCTCATATAAGTCTCCAAGGTCCTGTTCAAGACCTCAGTCTGACCATCTGTTTGAGGATGGTAGGCTGTAGATTTATGCAACTGAACTCCTTGCAAGGTGAACAATTCTTGCCAAAATGAACTCAAGAAAACAGGGTCTCTATCACTCACTATAGTAGAGGGCATACCATGCAGCCTAAACACATTGTCCAAGAAGCTTTGAGCTACAGTCTGAGCAGTGTAAGGATGCTGCAAGCAAATGAAATGGCCATACTTACTCAACCTATCAACCACCACTAAAATGATATCCTTTCCTTTAGATTTAGGTAAACCCTCAATGAAATCCAAGCTAATGTCAGTCCAAACACCTTCAGGGATAGGTAGAGGTTGAATTAAGCCAGGATAAGCTGAGGCATCATACTTGTGTCTCTGGCACACATCACATCTGTTAATGATACTCCTGACATCTGAAACCATGGTCTTCCAGTAGAATAGGGACTGCAATCTCCTAATGGTAGCATCCATTCCAGAGTGGCCACCCTGAGGTGTAGAATGCCACAACTGAATAATATGTTCTCTCAGCTGATGGTCAGACCCTACCACTAATCTTCCCTTCCACCTAAGCTGAGAGCTAATCCAAGTAAAGGATTTATAAGGTTGCACTACCAGTTTAGTGATCAAGGTCTGTAAAGCAGCATCAGAAATCCAAGATTGTTGAATCTGACAGAAAAGTGTATCATGGGGGTATAAGCAAGGACAAGGCCAATAACTCTGCACCTTGATTTCTAGAGAGAGCATCAACAGCCTTGTTGTCCAGTCCTTTTTTGTATTCAATAGTGAAGTCAAATGCCATAAACTTTGAGATACCAGCCACTTGAAAATCAGTGTGTATAGTTTGTTCCAGCAGATGCTTCAATGCCTTCTGGTCGGTCCTGACTATGAAGGGTCTACTTAACAAATAATGTGACCACTTAGTCACAGCAAAAACCAATGCCAGCAATTCTCTATCGTAAACACACATGGACTGATGTCTAGGGGCCAGTGTTTAACTAATATAAGCAATAGGGTGCCCCTGCTGCATTAGGACATCACCAATACCTGTACCACTTGCATCTGTCTCAATAACAAAAGGTTCAGCATAGTTTGGCAGAGCCAAGACAGGAGCAGTCACCAAGGCTTCTTTGAGAGTAAGGAAAGCTGTAATAGCTTCTTCAGTCCAAGCAAAACTGTCATTTTTAAGTAAGTCATGTAAAGGTCTGCATATAGCTCCAAATCCTTTGATGAACCTCCTATAGTACCCTGCTAAACCAATGAAACCTCTGAGTTGCTTGATGGTAGTAGGCAGTCCCCAGCCTTGTACTGCAGATACCTTTTTAGGATCAGTTGCTACTCCCTTAGCACTGATAAAATGTCCTAAGTACTCCACTTCTGTTACCCCAAAAGCACACTTGAATGCTTTAGCATACAATTGATGGTGTTTCATCAGCTCAAACACAGTTCTTAAGTGATCCACATGAGCAGACATAGTTTTGCTATAAACCAAAATGTCATCAAAGAAAACTAACACTGATTTTCTGAGTAATGGTTTGAAAAATGAATTCATAAGACTTTGGAATGATGAAAGAGCATTGATTAGCCCCAAGAACTCATAGTGACCCTCATGAGTTTTGAAAGTTGTTTTATGCATGTCAGATTCTGCCATTCTCAATTGGTGATAGCCAGCTCTAAGATCAATCTTAGAGAACACCACAACACCCCCCAACTCATCCAATAGATCCTCAATAATAGGGATTGGGAATTTATCCTTCACTGTTAAATGATTCAAATCCTTGTAATCAATACAAAGTCTCCAGCTACCATCCTTTTTTCCAACTAACACAACCGGGGATGCATATGGACTAGTACTATGATGTACAACCCCTTGATCTAGCATCTCTTGTACCAACTTCTCAATAATATCCTTTTTTACTCCAGGAAACATGTAAGGTCTGTTACTAATAGGTGTTGCATTGCCTATGAGTGGTATTCTGTGATCATAGGGTCCTCTGTGAGGTGGTAATGCAGTAGGAATATCAAATATACACTTGTATTGTTCCATTAAAGAAACCAAAACAACTGGAATGTCATCACCTGTGGTTGTGATAACTTGGATGTGGTTACATTGGAAGGTAACAAGTGTGTTCACTGACAACATATAAAATTGTACTTGTTCTACAGGTTTTTTATTCAACACTTTAGCCTTAGTAGTCTTGACTTGAGTGGTTGCCCCTCTCAACACGTGCTTCTTCCCTTGGTGCATGAACTCAATGGTCCTTTTGCTAAAATCAAAGAGAATTATCCCCAATGTATTCAACCATTGGACCCCCAATACTATATCAATATATCCTAATGGCAGTAATAGGAAATCAGAAGAAAATGTAGTTCCCTGTAACAACCACTGCAGATTCCTACAAATGGAAGCAGTTTGTACCTTCCTCCCATCAACTACACTAATAGACTGTTCGATGATTGTGATGGCCTTGCATCCTAGCTGCCTTGCCATTTCTTCATCAATAAAATTGTGGGTACTACCTGTATCAATAAGAATCTGCAATGGTCTTTTCTCATGA